GCATACGCCCCTTTTATACTTGCGACTCCTCTCGGCATCCTCTGGATGCAGTACTCAAGCTTTTCAAAGAGATCGCCGAGCATGTCGACAGGCCTTGCCATGCTCTCCACAAGCTTCCTCGCAAAGATCCCTGACCGATAGCCTCCCTCTCCTACCCCGTCACAGAGCACAGTCAAGCTGTCTTTGATCTCGAAGGCGTCATCATACGGCAGCCAACCATGATAGCGAGGGTCCATGTGCTTGCCTGGCATGCCCTTGAGGCTCACGTACGCCTCGCTGAAGATGCAGCTTCCAGGCTCTGGCCCAGGTGCCTGGCGCTTCGCCAGCCGCGGGTCCCGGGCGGGCCTTGTGTACGGCCTGGCGACTGGGAGGTCAGCTCTGGAGCTTGGGGATGCTCCGCTCTGTGCTGGAGGGACGGCAGAGGTCTGCGGTGCCTGCTCTCGTGCGAGGCTGGCTTGAAGCGACTCCAGCTTCATGCGTGTCTCTCTTTCACTGCTTAGCTCCGTCTGCAGTTTCTGTATGCTGGCCTCGAGGTCCGTGATGGTGTCGATGGCTTGCTGGCGAGCTTGCTGGGCGGCAGCATGGGCTTGCCTCTCAGCCTCGAGGCTCTTGCGCAGCTCGTCAATCTGCTCCTTGGCTTTGCTTTGGGTCGTTTCTATCGCGCCGGCCATGTCCTGCACCTCTCCAAGGCCGTCGTGTAGCGCTCGTGCTTGTTGCTGCGACTGAGCGGCTTGCTTGTCGCGGGCGGACTGGGCGCTGCGCCGACACTTGAGCAGCAGCTCCTGATACCTGACCGCCTCGATCTCGTATTGCTTTGTCCGCTTCGTTTGGTCTTCAAGCCTCTGCTCGAGTTGAAGTATCTCTAGCTTGAGCTCTTCCTTGCCGAGCTCCTCGTCCTCACCGTCGGAGATGATGATGGCATCGCTCGCTTGATCCCCGGGCAGAGCGCCTGCGAGGCTGTCCTGATGGCTACCCGTCCTGCTTCGTTTCCTGTGTGGCGGCATTCCAATCTGAGTCAGGCCGTCCGCCGCGCAGCCTCCCGGACACTCTCTGAGTGCCAATGATGCCGCCGCAGGGCTGAGCGGCCCGGCCTGACCGTCAGCAGGGACCGGGATCCTTTCAAGTTTCTTACAACCGGTTGAATGTAACCGCGGGGACTCCTGAGCGGCGCCGCGGCGGCCCACCCGGACCGTCCGATCCTATCCGATCGGGTCACTGAGTCACCGCCGGTGACTAAGCACCCGTGACCGTCACAGAGTCCGATCACGCGGCCCGCGACTCAGCGTAGCGCACCGTGCCACGGCCCGCCGTCTCGATTTTGTTTCACATTGAACGGTTGCCCCGTCTTCCCGGGCCGCGCGGCCAGTGTATGGCAGGCGGCGGACCGATCCGCGATGATAGTACTCTGCCGCAGCCTTGGGGTGCCCCGTTGACCGGACCAGTCAGTCGCGGTCATGAACGCGCTGCCGCACTGAACAGTACTTGGCGATACCCCTCGTGACCTCGTCAAGGTTTATGTCACAGTCGCCCTCGGAAAGACTCTCCATGCGGACCTCGACCCCTCTCTGCTGCTGCCCTCGAGACACTGTCATGCGAGACACGATCAGAGTCAGATCGTCCTTCTTCCCCATCGACCTATCCATCCTGTTCTCCGTCCTCTCCCGCAGCCTTCCTCCAAGACCCTCGACGAAGCCCCCGTGTCCGAAGTCACCAAGTACCTCCTCCGACATCGTCTCCAAGGCCGATCTCCTCGCGTGGTCGTCCGAGCCCAGGTTCTCCCAGAAGCCGTCGCTTCCTGCTACGATGATGTCGCCTGATCGCGCATACATCCGCTGCAAGATCTCGTTCTTCCTGTCTCTGTACTGCCGCATGTGCCCTTGGTCCATCCCCGCCTGGTACGGAGGTCTCTTGCCGTTGTCGTGCGGAGAGTGGAAGCGAGGGGGCGACAGGTACTCGCAGCGAGCCCTGTACCGACAGGTCAGTGACCGACGGCTTGCCGTCAAGACCACCCTCCCCCCCCCCTCTCTTCCTCTCTCTCCCTCTCTCTCCCTCTCTCTCCCTCTCTCACCTGCGTCGAGAAGCGTCCAAGGTCAGCAGCGCCCACTGGCTGTCGCCCAGCTCGAGAGCATCGATCATGATCTCGTCACTGTCTCTTCCCGGTTTGAGCTGAAGCGCTACCACAGTCGAAGATGCAAGTTCCAGGATGTCGTGATAGGAAGATGGCTGAGGCATGCGCATCCTCTGGATGCAGTACTCAAGCTTTTCAAAGAGATCGCCGAGCATGTCGACAGGCCTTGCCATGCTCTCCACAAGCTTCCTCGCAAAGATCCCTGACCGATAGCCTCCCTCTCCTACCCCGTCACAGAGCACAGTCAAGCTGTCTTTGATCTCGAAGGCGTCATCATACGGCAGCCAACCATGATAGCGAGGGTCCATGTGCTTGCCTGGCATGCCCTTGAGGCTCACGTACGCCTCGCTGAAGATGCAGCTTCCAGGCTCTGGCCCAGGTGCCTGGCGCTTCGCCAGCCGCGGGTCCCGGGCGGGCCTTGTGTACGGCCTGGCGACTGGGAGGTCAGCTCTGGAGCTTGGGGATGCTCCGCTCTGTGCTGGAGGGACGGCAGAGGTCTGCGGTGCCTGCTCTCGTGCGAGGCTGGCTTGAAGCGACTCCAGCTTCATGCGTGTCTCTCTTTCACTGCTTAGCTCCGTCTGCAGTTTCTGTATGCTGGCCTCGAGGTCCTTGATGGTGTCGATGGCTTGCTTGCGGGCATGCTGGGCGGCAGCATGGGCTTGCCTCTCAGCCTCGAGGCTCTTGCGCAGCTCGTCAATCTGCTCCTTGGCTTTGCTTTGGGTCGTTTCTATCGCGCCGGCCATGTCCTGCACCTCTTCAAGGCCGTCGTGTAGCGCTCGTGCTTGTTGCTGCGACTTAGCGGCTTGCTTGTCGCGGGCGGACTGGGCGCTGCGCCGACACTTGAGCAGCAGCTCCTGATACCTGACCGCCTCGATCTCGTATTGCTTTGTCCGCTTCGTTTGGTCTTCAAGCCTCTGCTCGAGTTGAAGGATCTCTAGCTTGAGCTCTTCCTTGCCGAGCTCCTCGTCCTCACCGTCGGAGATGATGATGGCATCGCTCGCTTGATCCCCGGGCAGAGCGCCTGCGAGGCTGTCCTGATGGCTACCCGTCCTGCTTCGTTTCCTGTGTGGCGGCATTCCAGTCCGATGAGAGCGGGTGGGAGAGTGCAAGGCGCTTTTGTAGGGATGGACGGGGAACAAGGGGATGCGGGGAGGAAGGGGGTGGGGTGGTGACGGTGCTGGACAAACACGTGGTGCTGAGAGGGAGGAAGACGGGTGGCCGCAGCTGAGTAGATACGGAGAGGGTGGGGGTGGTGTTTTGCTGGGTGTCTCTAGGCAGTAGGAGAGGCTAGTGGGGGGTAGGAGGGGGGCTAGGAAGGCTAGGACCCAGGCTTTCTTACCACTGATACAGGTTCAATCTCAGTACTACTAATGAAATGTTTGAGTCACCGGCTACGGTACTATCAAAGGCTTTGAGTAAACTTATCCGATGGCATAGGCGGACTCGCCTCCGAATCTGAGTCAGGCCGTCCGCCGCGCAGCCTCCCGGACACTCTCTGAGTGCCAATGATGCCGCCGCAGGGCTGAGCGGCCCGGCCTGACCGTCAGCAGGGACCGGGATCCTTTCAAGTTTCTTACAACCGGTTGAATGTAACCGCGGGGACTCCTGAGCGGCGCCGCGGCGGCCCACCCGGACCGTCCGATCCTATCCGATCGGGTCACTGAGTCACCGCCGGTGACTAAGCACCCGTGACCGTCACAGAGTCCGATCACGCGGCCCGGGCCGCGACTCAGCGTAGCGCACCGTGCCACGGCCCGCGGCGCCGTCTCGATTTTGTTTCACATTGAACGGTTGCCCCGTCCGAAGTTCCTGGGCCGCGCGGCCAGTGTATGGCAGGCGGCGGACCGATCCGCGATGATAGTACTCTGCCGCAGCCTTGGGGTGCCCCGTTGACCGGACCAGTCAGTCGCGGTCATGAACGCGCTGCCGCACTGAACAGTACTTGGCGATACCCCTCGTGACCTCGTCAAGGTTTATGTCACAGTCGCCCTCGGAAAGACTCTCCATGCGGACCTCAACCCCTCTCTGCTGCTGCCCTCGAGACACTGTCATGCGAGACACGATCAGAGTCAGATCGTCCTTCTTCCCCATCGACCTATCCATCCTGTTCTCCGTCCTCTCCCGCAGCCTTCCTCCAAGACCCTCGACGAAGCCCCCGTGTCCGAAGTCACCAAGTACCTCCTCCGACATCGTCTCCAAGGCCGATCTCCTCGCGTGGTCGTCCGAGCCCAGGTTCTCCCAGAAGCCGTCGCTTCCTGCTACGATGATGTCGCCTGATCGCGCATACATCCGCTGCAAGATCTCGTTCTTCCTGTCTCTGTACTGCCGCATGTGCCCTTGGTTCATCCCCGCCTGGTACGGAGGTCTCTTGCCGTTGTCGTGCGGAGAGTGGAAGCGAGGGGGCGACAGGTACTCGCACCGAGCCCTGCACCCACACCTCCGTGACGACTCGCTAGCAGCCCCGACCACCCTCCCCCCCCCCCCTCTTCCTCTCTCTCCCTCTCTCTCCCTCTCTCTCCCTCTCTCACCTGCGTCGAGAAGCGTCCAAGGTCAGCAGCGCCCACTGGCTGTCGCCCAGCTCGAGAGCATCGATCATGATCTCGTCACTGTCTCTTCCCGGTTTGAGCTGAAGCGCTACCACAGTCGAAGATGCAAGTTCCAGGATGTCGTGATAGGAAGAGGTCTGAGGCATGCGCATCCTCTGGATGCAGTACTCAAGCTTTTCAAAGAGATCGCCGAGCATGTCGACAGGCCTTGCCATGCTCTCCACAAGCTTCCTCGCAAAGATCCCTGACCGATAGCCTCCCTCTCCTACCCCGTCACAGAGCACAGTCAAGCTGTCTTTGATCTCGAAGGCGTCATCATACGGCAGCCAACCATGATAGCGAGGGTCCATGTGCTTGCCTGGCATGCCCTTGAGGCTCACGTACGCCTCGCTGAAGATGCAGCTTCCAGGCTCTGGCCCAGGTGCCTGGCGCTTCGCCAGCCGCGGGTCCCGGGCGGGCCTTGTGTACGGCCTGGCGACTGGGAGGTCAGCTCTGGAGCTTGGGGATGCTCCGCTCTGTGCTGGAGGGACGGCAGAGGTCTGCGGTGCCTGCTCTCGTGCGAGGCTGGCTTGAAGCGACTCCAGCTTCATGCGTGTCTCTCTTTCACTGCTTAGCTCCGTCTGCAGTTTCTGTATGCTGGCCTCGAGGTCCTTGATGGTGTCGATGGCTTGCTTGCGGGCATGCTGGGCGGCAGCATGGGCTTGCCTCTCAGCCTCGAGGCTCTTGCGCAGCTCGTCAATCTGCTCCTTGGCTTTGCTTTGGGTCGTTTCTATCGCGCCGGCCATGTCCTGCACCTCTCCAAGGCCGTCGTGTAGCGCTCGTGCTTGTTGCTGCGACTTAGCGGCTTGCTTGTCGCGGGCAGACTGGGCGCCTGCGCCGACACTGAGCAGCA